TGAGTTAGAGCACTTCTTTCCATGCTCTGTTATGAAGGGCCCCTTCTCAGCTTGCGAATCACGGGTACCCTCTTCTGCCCTCTCCCTCGCTGCTCAGTGGTTTGTACACTGGCTTTCTACAGTGCCCTTCCAGGAGCAGGAGCATTCTGAGCATTACCAGACACTTGTTAGAAATACCAGGTCCTGGGCCAGCCTCGCTGAGGTGGGCCTCGCAGTCCGTGTTGTCACATAATCTCCAAGCCCCGTGGGTGTCACAGCCACCGCTGGCCTCTTCTTGAAGAAGACAATTGGGAGCAGAAAAACGAATTATTAAAAAGCCTACTTTTAACTACTTGTTAGCAACTCTGATCTTTTTTTAAAAAATGATTTAGGGGCCAAGGAATTGACACTGAATAGCATAATGTTGACCTATCTGGGCTTTCAGTTAATTTGTCTATACCAAGAGGGGAAATTGGAGCCGTCCACAATTGTACTGGGTAGAAGGATGCACAGATGACCTAACAGGCGGAGGGTAGCGTGGCTCCAGCAGCTCCCCACTGTACAACTCTCCAAGTCAATAAAATGACACCCAGGAAAATGTCTTCCTCATAGGCGCTGACTTCAGGGTGACTCACTAAAGTATTTGTTACACTGAAATTACCCCAGACATCTGAGGAGCAGGCGAAAGATGATGATAAATCATGTACTATACTCTGCTAGTCAGAGGTATTTACTATCTAAAGTTGAAGTTCAGAGTTCTTAACGAGTTCAGAGTTCAACTTAGGTGAAAAATAATATTTTTAAACGAATATTGCTGTGGGAATACATAAATGTCTGGATCACATAATCCTTTAAATTGGGATTTTTGAAATAAGTTGTAGTATTTAGCTGTAAAATAATCTTATAAAGACTATCCCCCCTAAGAAACCATAAAGATTAAAAGGAAGCATGGTAGCTGAAATTTTATCGTAAACTTGAAAATGCGTTATGTGAGATTCAGAACCCTAAGAAAACAAATCTAGATTATTTACATTTGAAAGGAAAGCCCATTAAGCTTGGAGTTCTACAGTTGACAAAATATTATTGTAATTCCTATGGTTTTTTTTTTTTTTTTGGACTTTTCATTTTTATCGGTACCGGGGATCGAACTCACAACTGCCTGCTTGCAAGGCAGGTGCTTATGCCGCTAAGCTAAATTCCCAGCCCCTTCTCTGGGGTTTTGTATTATGAGTGTGGAGCAGGTATTTCAGTCTAGTGCACCTTATGATCTAAAAATAGCCTGTCGTAGAAACTTCTATAAAAATGCAAATAGCAGAACCATATTTCCTGGATTTTGGGACATCCTTTTATTTAAAATGTACATCCATTTTTTTTAGAATTTTTAAAAAATTCTTTTGGTATAACATGCAAACACCACCATCAGAGTGAGAACATCATGCTGTGTCATATACCAGTGACAGTTCAGCCCCAAGAGCTGGGCAGGTTCTACCGCATACCTAGACAGAATGGGCTTCTGTGAGCACTAGAGATGAGAAGCCATGGCAGTTTACTACATGGCTAAAGACATCTGTCATATGTATTCCTGCCATAATTATGTTGCTGATGAGGAAACTTGGACTAAAGCAACTTGTCTGGCAAAAATCAAGATTTAAATCTAAATATGACACTTTTCAAAGCTACCTACTTTCCAACCAGGTGATGCCATTTTGCAAAAATAAAGCACTCTCTAGTAGTAATAACAAAGTTAAGAGAAGTTCTCATCTGGGCCAGGTGTGATGGTGCATACCTGTAATCCTAGCACTCAGGAGGCTGAGGCAGGAAGATCACCATGAATTCGGGGCCAGTGTGGGGTACACAGTGAGTTCAAGAGCAGCCTAAACTACATAGCCAGACCCTATATCAAAGAAAGGAAGAAGAGGAAGAAGAAGAAGAAGAGAAGGGAAGTAAGACAGTAGTTTAAAAAGCAAAAATTTTATCCAGACAAATGGCTAAGAAAATAGAAACAATTTTATAACATGTATGTTACACCTGTTTTCAGGTCTTGGACTTTATATGTCATTTTTCAATTTCAGAAACCAGGGTTCCTTGAAGAAATGGCTGGTTCTTAGCCTGGGACAGGAGAAATCCAAGATCATATAACTCTAGAAAGTAATAAAGTAAGAAGAACTCAAACACAAAAGGATGAGAACATGCCAAGGACCTTGCGTCCAAACTGTGCAATCTTCCAGCAGCCAAAATTGAAAGTGTTTGAAGAACACAATATATAAAAATAGCTCTGGGTTATAGCCACAGAATAAAATAAATACATATGAACCCCATATGGATAGATATAATTGAATAAATAAATGGAGAAAGATAAATGTTTCTTTCCGTAGAATTCTGAGTATGTAGATACCTTCATAAGAGATGAAACAATTATTTCCTTCTAGTCTCCTCTGACCCCAAGGATGGGCTACCCTTGGTGACTTACTTACAAAGACCAGAGTAGGGATGCCTGGGAGAAACTTTGCAAATACTTCTCCAAGTGCATTGTTAAATGTTATCAATCTCTTCATTCTGACCTAGCAACTTAAGATGTTAACATGAGGGAGAAATGGAAAGGGAATTCTTGATGCTATCTTTGCTCCATTTTTGCAAATTTAAAATTATTCCTATATTTAAAATTAAATTTAAATTATTCCTTAATTAAGAGGAAATGTGTGCTAGATAGTTGTTGAAGCTGGATGTCAGCTGCAAAAGTGTTCATTGTCCTAGTCACTCTGCTTTTAGACATTTTTTCAATATGAAATTCTTTAAAAAAAACAAATTAATAAAGCGAAATGAGTCTTCTGCCTTCATGGTATTAAGCAATAGTGAGTGACAAAGTTTCTTCCCCTAGGACAGTAATGAATGGAGCACGCTTTGTTTTCATAGTTAAACTAGCAGTGGGTACTTCCTGTCCCATTCTGCAGCTTTGCTGCTCTAGGTATGATCAGTGCATCCACAACGTTGGTATCATGTAGGGTTGTGTCAGAAATGCAGTATGACCTACTGAACTGGAATCTCCATCTTTAACATCTGCAGTGAACAGAATACACTTTAAGGTATTACAAGCACTGTTTACTGTCATGTGCTAGTTCTGCATTTAAACATCTAGAAAGAGAGTGCCACTAAAGTCAGTGAAGATGTTCGCATGATGAGTTTGCTTTAACTACCTAGACGACCATAACCTGCTCCTTTTTACCTGTCTCTTACTAAAATGTGATATTTAGTTACAATAACAGAATTCATGTGAGATAACGTGATTGTTACACCATTTCACTTGGTCATTGAAGATGCCCAGGGGCAAATGCAAGTAGTAAATATTCCTACATGGCTTATACCAAAAAGACAAGACTAGCGATTAGGAGGCCAAACAAGAAGTACAAGTTTTAAAAATGTTCTCTGATGATTTGACTGAGGGATCTTGAATGCAGGGACTAAGCCTTAAGCCTCACTTTTTGACCCTTTCACCAGAGAAACACAGATGCGTGATCTATCTCAGCTTCCGTGTTTTGCATCATGTCACCCTGGAAAATACATGAATTTAGTGAGCACACCTTTGGTTAAAGGCATTACTAGCCATTGCTAGGTAGGACTTGAATGTGTTTGCCTAGTCAGTGGGAAGGGAAAAAATGTTTGATTCGATAGTAGAGAAGAAAGATGAAAGGTTAGTGACAGGACCGAGGTTCTAGAAAGGGTCAGAGTGGGAGGATGGAGAGAAGAGCTGAAGGCAGAGCACAAAGATCATCAGGGAACCTCAGAGAGGATCGGAACTCTTCTCCTCTGAGGGAAAGGGTGAGGACGAGAAGGAGGAGGAAGAGGAGGAGAAGACTGGAGACACAACAGCAGATAAAATGCAAGGCTTCACCTGAGAACGAGCGGCCCAGAGATGCAGTACGTATGATGGGAAGGTTCTGAAGTTTGGAAAGCGATGGCAGGAATATGATAGGAGGAGACACAGCCAGGAGCCTGTACTTTGTAGTCTGAATGAATGCATTTTTCTCAGATCAGAAGGAAGCTAACAGCTGAGATGCCCAGCAACAAGTGTCAGCCCACACTCTCTGGGGCGGGTGGAGCATGTGGTCACCAGCAGAAGTCCCACTGCTATAAAGGGAAGGAGGAAGGTCTGTGGAGAGCTGCCCTAATCTGCATAAGGAGAGCATTTGACCACTGTGGCCTTCTCTAGCAGTGCTGCTGGCACAGGCTGGGAAACAGTGGGACGGTAATCAGCTTCATATGAGGCAGGAGTAGCAGAGGGTCAGGAAAGTGAAGCTCCTTACCTGTCACTGACAGCATCGTCAGAATGGCTGGCAGTAGTCCCCCGGTCTGCAGTGACAGGAATGCTCTCCATCTGCCCTGTTCACATGGGACAGTTGACCAAGGGAGTCCTATTAGAAAGGGCTGGGTTAGAGGAACCCAGGTGGGTGAAGCCTGCAGGAGATTCGCGGACAGGAAGGAAATCACAGCAAGATTCAGAACACAAGACAGGGTTTGTCGGTGAGATTGAGCATAGATATAAGTAATTAAGAGTGGTACCATGTTGTGATGAAGCCCAAATTGTGACAGTGCCTCTGAAGAACCAAAGAAAAGACTTGGTGGGACTGAGGACCTAGAGGTATAGAGAAATCACAGCATGGGCAGGGGAACGTGCGCGTGCACACTGTGTGTGTGAGTGTGTGAGCAGAGAGTCTCATCTCTCCCTGACAGCCTCGAGGAAAAATAAGTAAATCCCAGAGAGAACATGAGATGAAAACCATGGGGGGACATGGCTCGTATTTCACAAGACACATTATTTTGATTTGTTTTGTTTTGTCTTGTTTTATAAGATACTAGTCATTTCTAGAAGATGCAGCATAGACCAGGAAGAATGTAGATACTTCCTATTGGTCCTATTGGTTGTTGGGCAAAGGCAAAAGAGAAATTATAATTTGTTTCTTTTTGGCAAACAGTAGTTGAAGTTAAACTTCTGTTTTTATTTTATTTTATCTTTTATTTTACAGATCTGCTTTACCTTTGGAAGTGGACTTCACTTAGAGGTAAGGATCCAAGGGGATTATTTCTATCTTTGGGATTTAAACGCTTAATCTCATGGTGGACCATTTGGCTACACCATTCCCATTCAGACGGCTGCAGAAGAGTGTGTTTCCTGTAATGCAGCATTTTAGTGGTAAAAGACCTTTGCCTGGATGCATGCACATGTGCACCTGTGTGGTCATCAGCGATCGTGAGAGGTATTCATGAAGTTGTCAGCTGTGATTGGTCTGTGAAAAATAAGTGAATAGAAGTTTTGCATTTTTACATCATAAGTTTTACTGTTATCCTTTGTAGTGTTTTATTATGTAATGTATTTTTAAGTTAAGAAAATATATTTAAATATAAACAAAGAAAAATCTTTGGATAAAATATATACTTGCCTATAAAACTCTAGTGCAAATTTACAGAATAGTTTCCCATCTAAAATTTCAAAGGGAGATTTCATAGTTCACTCAGTTCTGAGCAGGGTAAACTCTTTAATGGCAGTTGACCATTTTCATTAGATTTATGTTTACCAGAGATTAGTCTTGTGGCACTGGGGATTGCACCCAGGGCCTTTGCAGTGAGGTGCATCTCCAGCCCTTTTTACTTGTTTTATTCTGAGACAGGGTCTTACTAAGTTGATGAGTTGCCCAGGCAGCACTCACACCTAGGATCTTCCTGCCCTGGGCTGCCAGAGCGCTTGGATTACAGGCATATGCCACCGTGATCAAATTAGTAATTTATTTTTGTACCATCAATCATTACAGAAAACTAAAACGTCATCTTCAGCAAGTAATGGAAAAACGTTCTTACGTGGTTTATTTCTAATTTACCAAATTGTAAGGCCACTAAATAGCCCTTCAGCCTTTTGAATTCCTTCCTCTGGAAAATCTTTTTTTGCTGTGAGAAATGAAGTCCTCCTGCTTTACTGATTTGAATATAGTCTCTTGGAGGGTCACAAAGTTGACTTGTATATAAGTGTCCTCTTTGAAAATGCAGTTTGTCCAGAAATAGGAAATATGTCTTAAAAATTGCACTATTTCTAAAGGCTAATAAATTGCAGAACACTGTACTGAACTTTGTAACTCATAATAATATGTGGGCAATATTTCATTGTCGTAGTTCTTTAACACAAGAAGAGAAAGCAAGCTGCTTCCTGGCCACACTCACCTGGTACGCCAGAAGCGGTCATGGATCACTGCCCCAGGGAATCTCTGGGAAGGCGAGGATCTGACCAAGAAGAATCCCATTGCCAAGGTACCTCTGAGCAGGGATGGGAGCATCGTGTGTGTGGTTGAAGCTGGGCTCTGAGCAGATTTTTATGTCTGCTTTAAAATTAAAGAACGATGATGTATTCGCTGATTTTTTTCCTTAATGTTTGGATACAACTAAAACTTAACAGAGCATATTAACAGAGAGTGCCAACCTTAAAATCTTTACTGTAGTTATTCTGCAAGATGCTGCATCATTGCCAAAAATGCATATAACTTTAGGTTTTGATTCAGTTCAGAATTAAGGGATCTGGCATTAGTTTTCTCTTAGTTTAACACAGAGTGTTGCAATAATCAAAAGAGTGTATTATCATTAGAAAGTAGTGGAAAGAAATCATGTCTAAGAGGTAGAGTGACCAGATATCACTATTTGCCCAGGACAGCTAATTTATGCCTGTCCTGGCTTAACAGCTCCTCCTTTACTCTCTAAAGTCTGGTTCTTTTCATCAATGATGTGGTGGTCCCTATACTATGTATCTCAAAGGTGTTAGGTATAAACCTGAACCTTGATTTATCCCTCCCCTAAAGTGGCTCTCCGTAAGTTCTACCCATTTCTGTAAATGTTACTATCATTCTATTGAGTTTTTCAAACCAAAAATGTAGCAAGTACTTTTTGTTCTATTGCAAATTGCCCACTTCCGTTCCTCTCTGCTGCCACGCCCATCGTCCCAGCCTGTCACCTCCTGCCCACAGCAGCAGAAGTCCTCCCCACTCGTCCCCTGCATTCATTCTCTCCCAGCTCACCCCAATATAGTCCAGTCCCCAGAAAGGACCTAGAGCAAACTTGCGAAAAGACAACTAAAGCATGTTCCCCCTCCACACGCTCTTAATGGGATGCTTGAGGCGCTCCCCAGTGTGGTAGGAGAAAAAATCCTCTTCCTGTGGCTGTGAGAGCCCGTGAGACTCGATGGACCTTGGCCTCCTCTCCGTGCTCAGTGCCTGTCACTTCCCGTCACCTATCCCATGTCCCCAAACTGACATAGCTCATCATAGCTTCCTTCCCTTTGCATTTGTTCCCTGCCCTGAAGCTGTTCCCCAGAGGTCCTTGTGGCATCATCAGGCCTCTGCGCAAGTGTCACCCCTCCTCCCTGCCGCACTTTATTTCCCTCTGCCCTCTTTGTCTCTTTAGGGTTGTCCTCATTCCGCTCACTGCCTGTCTCCGTCAGGTACAGTGTGCACTCCGTGAGGCTGGAGCTGCCACCTCAGGGTCCGCAGGTCCTGCCTGCATAGAGCTGGTGTGTGGTAGATGCTCAGTACACCTTTGTGTCACGCATACTCTGTCACATCCACGTTTTTACCTTCTTCTTTCCAGTCTTTTAAAGCTCATGAGTGAAAAGGCTCCTTTAACAAGGGGAGCCGCTACAGAATAGAAGACAACGATTCTATTTTTCTAGTGACTTGTTGCTTTTATAAATGCGGCCAAAACTCCTCATGGGTTCATGTAATAGTACACAAACAAGCTGTTGAGTTTTGATTTTGTTTTGGCCTGCTTGTTTCAGATCTAAGTCATTCACACCGTCTTTTAATGTGGGTCCCTAAAATGTACTGATTCATCAGGAATAAGTGTTAGCTGATTTTTACTACTTTTATTTTTATAGGCTCAGAGTAAAATTTAAATAAAAAGCAAAAGATCTTGTTAAATTTTTCCCTAGCTTTCCAAATTACCCATGTAAAAGTAATACTGTCAGCTGTTTAGAATTTTCCAAAATTTCCACTGTTGGTGGGAGTGTAGACTGGTGCAACCACTATGGAAATTAGTATGGAGATTTCTCAGAAGACTAGGATTGGAAGTTCCATTCAACCCAGCTATTCCCCTCCTGGGTATTTTCCCAGAAAAACTGTAAAGGTCATATTACAGTGATATATGTGCACCCATGTTCATAGTAGCACAATTTTTAATAGCTAAATCTTGGAATCAACCAAGATGCCCATCAACAACAGAGTAGATGAAAAAGAGGCGATATTTTTATATAATGGAATATTACTCAGCTATAAAAAAGATGATCTTGAGGCCTTCATAGGCAAATGGAGACAACTTGAGGCTATCCTCATTAGTGAAATAAATAAGAATCGTATTTATAAATATCACATTGTGTCTCTAGTGTAAAAACTAATAAGAATTGTAGGAATAATAAAGCCCAAAATGTGTAATTGCTATTGTAAAAAAGAGGAAAAGAAAGTTCTCTAAAAGATATAATTGCATATGTATTTAAGTGTGTAGAATTGATAACCGTATTACTAAGTTTTTGTTGGATAGTTGAGTCTTGCTGTTTGAATGTCCACTTCGTATGCTTCACTTCTGTAACTTGAACAACTGTTTCTAAGAGGACAATATATAATTATCAACTAGTAATATTTTTTTGTTTTTTTTTGAAGTTATGTATTATTTCTACCTTTTTTCTGTTTTGTTTTGTTTTCCTTAAAGAATTTTCCAAACCTTAGAAAACACCTATGTGTATATATGTATGTGTGCAAACACTTACTTGCACACATATGTATGTAAGAACTACCAGTTCTGTCTGCACCATTTTTGTTTTCTGAGTGGGACTGTATGATCAGTACGCAAAGGCATCGAGTACCTATACAAATACTGTTTATATGTAAATATACAGATCCATGCAGGTGTGTGTATGCGGTGCACATGGCAGAAAAAGAGGGCCGGCCAGGTGGAAGCTCTGTGGAGTGACCACACCGAGTTCACTACCGCACTCACGAGTACGGCTGGGGTGAGGGCTGGAGAACCCGTCTGCTGTTCCCTAGGCTGCTCAGTGATACATGAAGAAGAAATTCAGGAACCATTAGGGTGTCCCAGAGAGAAATGACCAATGCAGAATGAAAGATGTGAGTACAGTTGTTTGTACAGAATAAACATGCTAAGTTTAGAAGATCCAGAGAGTGAGAAGCAGTATTGATTTATTCCATCTTTCCAAGCAGGGAAGTAGCCCATTCAAATCCTTCTCTGGAAGATGCCTTGTTCATACCGTTACAGAGGTGATGTCAGAACCTCCAAGTACAGTATAAGGAAATACTACAACTCCCAACCTGTTAGATGTCTGAGATGCTGAGTTTGTGTTCTCTAAAAATCAAAGAATGAATTCTAAAAACAGAAGAGGTAGAGAATAGGAAGATATTTAGTGAGCGGATAGATAGGGTTGTCCGAGGAACAGGAGGGGTCCCGAATGGGTTGCGTCAGCACCCCACTTTACAGGCAAGTTTTATAGAGCATTATCCACAGGGGTACAATGTGGGTTAAAGTTACGACTAACCAATAAGTGATATAGGGGAATGAAACTCCCAGCCTGCTATGTCTGGTATGACTGCGTGTTCTCTAAAATGGAAGAATGAATTTTAGTAATAATGGAGGTTAAAAACAGGATATATTTATTGAGAGAGACATAAGAGGTCCCAAGTGGGTTGCCAAAAACGCTTATCTTTTCTAGGGACTTCTATAGAGTAAAATCATGGGGTGAAATGGGTTTAAAGTGGAGAAAACTGGGAACTCGAAAGGCAGATGGGCATAAGGTAGAACAGAACTATAGTTAACCAGTAAGACTAACTGTGCAGGTAAAATTAAATCATAAACAAATGGAGAAGCAAGTCACATAGAAAGCTGGCATTCTTAGAGAACAGTGACTCTTCCCTAGGGGGTTGGGATGGTGACTCCTGACTTCCTCAGGGTAATAGGGAACTATTTAGAATATCAGTCCTTAGGATGTGGATGCATTTGTTTGATCTTTGGTCTTGAGGCCTGGCCCATAGCAGGCAATTGCAAGATATCTGTCTGGGCTTCCGCACTGGCTTCTTTGAGGATCTAGCCCTATCTCACTACCTACAGTATTTCCAACTTACTCAGCTGCCTGTAACAGAAGGCTACAAATATAGACACTTACATCATAATGAAGCCATTGGGGAAACAAGTCAGGTAAGAAGGGTGCATGGAAAGAACAAAGACATTTTCTAGGAAATGATGGACTAGGAGGTCCAGGTCATGCACTGGGGTGACTGATGCTTCTCTGGACTTCGTCAGGCCTGGTGTCTGTCCTTCAAGGAAGTCTACAGGCGTAGTCATTTCTTCTTTATCTTGAGACCTGGTCTCCAATGGATGTGTCACCGGCCACAGTTGAGATGTGTTTCATCTTTGCCCTCTCTAGCCCTATCTGACTGCCTATAATATTTCTACCTCACTTAGCTGTTTGTCATAATGGTTTACAGATGATTAAATGTGTTTATAAAGATGACTTTGACTTTATAATTTCTGCCACATGTGTAACATGTAAAATCAGCCCCACTCGAAGACAAGCCCCAGCCATTTCTCAGTTTCACCATAACCCTCACAGGGAAGCCTTGTTGTCTTCCGTATCTTACAGGGAAGAAGCTGCAGAGCAGGTAGGTTGAATGCTAACTAAGTATCTCCTCCCAGCGTGTGTGGTGACAGAACTAGAACCAGGTTCCCTGACACCAGCACACGTGTTATGTCACTTCCTCTCTACCAGGATGCTGACAACTTCCAAGGAAAATTGTCCATTAAAAAATTTACATGTAAAGTATAAAGAATTTAACCTATTCTTTTGTGTCTTTTATGTTAGATACATTCTGATATTGCAGAAAGCGGAGTAAAAGTGACATACAAATACACTGGAACAGGGATCACAGAGCCTCCTTTTGGTATATTTGTCTTTAATAAAGACACTGGAGAACTGAATATTACCAGAATTCTTGATCGGGAAGAAACACCATTTTTTCTGGTGAGAACAGTTTTACATTTATTTGCCGTTTTTCTTGATTTTTTAAAAATCATAGCAGTTCAATTATTTTAGCTTACAAACATCTATGATTGTTGTCGTATTTTCAGCTAACAGGTTATGCTATGGATTCAAAAGGAAACAATCTGGAGAAACCACTAGAACTGCGCATTAAGGTCCTTGATATCAATGACAACAAGCCTGTGTTCACTCAGGAAGTCTTCACAGGCTCTGTTGAAGAGTTGAGTGCACCATGTAAGAGTTTTTGTTTTTTTATGAATGAATAACCAAAGTCATTTTATCCCCATTGTGTAAATCCCATTTGTCCTAGAGAATCACAATGTTTTTCTTCTGATCAGTTCAAATGCCTTTAAAGTTCATCTTTCTTACCCTCAGAAAAGATGGTGGATTGATGGGGCGGGGCAAGTGTGTCTCCATAGTAACTACCCCCTGGGAGAAAGGTAGTCACAGTTGCTATGTAAATAAATGGGTGTGGCTTTGTTCCAACAGAACTTTGCATACTAAAACAGGTGGCTGGCTGGCTGTTGGTCACTGTGGTATAATTACTGACCTCTGGCTTCCATTACTTGTACTGCAACTTTTTGTTGACATTCAATGCATTGCTCTATATAGGGCTTGAGTAGAGATTTCTTTGATCAAAATAAAGACCATACTTCTGATGTGTCTTTAATTTGAATGAACATTGAGGCTTTACATTGGCTCAGCCATATATCTCCGCATTTGCGGCTAGAGTAATTTCGTGAGACTCCTATAGCAATTTTGTAGAATTTCACCTTAATCTCAGCTTTGCCTCCATCTCATACTTCGCACACACTTTCTCATCCAGCTAAACTTTTGATCATGGTAAAATAGTGCGCAGATTTGTTAAGTACCTGGAATTCTTTTGGTAACTGCTGAAATTACTAAGAAATAATAACATACATAAATGTACTTACCTTGAACACCTCTTTTTCTAATGCTAGATACACTTGTGATGAAAATTACTGCCACAGATGCAGATGAGCCCAATACTATAAATTCTAAAATTTCCTACAGAATTGTGTCGCAGGAGCCTCCGTATCCTGTAGTGTTCCACCTAAATACAGATACAGGAGAGATTTTCACAACCAGTGCCTTGGACAGAGAGGTAAATTATTTCATGGTACCCATCTTTTACACTGCTCTAGTTTCTACTCTATTACTCTTTTCCAAATTTCTTTTGTTCTATATTCCTCACTCCTAGTATAGCTCTAATTGTTCTCCTTTAATAAGAATGTAATGTCCACTCTGGTATCGGTGAGTATACGTGACTGCATCTGAATTCAGAGGTGCCATGTGCATAGTGAGCTGTTTAAAAGACACATCGGATCTGGAAGAGTTAGCATAAAGATACAGAATATCATGTTCATTTTTTATGTCGACTTTTCTGTTCAAATGATAATGTTGTGTATCATGCATTAAAAAAATACGTGTTTAAAGTTAATAACCACGTATTCCCCTTTATTTTTTTATAGTGTGGCTATTTAAAACTTTTAAATCACTTAAAGACAGTACCATTCTTATTCTTTTTTATTTAGTATTCTGTTTACTAAGGATCCTACAGTGGCATTCCTCAGTTTGTGGTTTTCTGTGGTGATGTCAGGAGTCTCTTCCACTGCCAATGCATAGACAGGGAGCAGGCTGGTGGTGGTGGTGGCGGTGCTGGTGATGAGAGGGTCTGAAAGTTGGGGACAGGAGAGAGGGTTCTAATTCAGGTGTAAAAGCACTCAGAAGAAAAAATTGTTTTAAAACCCATATTAAAAAAAAATTGGATGGTTTTCCTGGAAAGATTGTCCTCCCAACATTTCATTCTTTTAGTTTTAGTTCAAAATTTTAAAATAAAAGGTATGATAGAAGATTTTTTAAACACTACATACATGAGTGTGCAAGAGTAAAATGTTGATTCTAGGACATGGCACTCTCAGGAAACACAAATCATTGTTCATGTGCATTGTAGCATACCTGGAAAACTCAGCTGTGCTCAGATGGGAAGGATCATGGGCAACGTTCCTGTTGGAGTTTCACAGAAGTTAAGGATATGATCTCGTACTCCTACCATTCTACTCTACAACTTCTCACATAAATTTAGAAACAGGAAAGGGTTACTGTGAGTCAGCAGCGTGATTTTTAACAAGTGTCTGTCTCTGAGGTGTGGGAAGTTTATCCAACAATAGTGGTTGTCTCTTTCCGTACATTTACGATATCCCAGGTGCCATCCTAAGCCCCCTTTACATGAATTAACTCACTTAATCCACATACAAACCCTGTGAGCAGATCTGGTTATTATCCCATCTTACATGTAAGAAAGCCAGGGGCCAAAGGGATTACTCGTGTGTCCAGCATGGCTAGTGAGTTTCAAAGCCACCAGGATTGGAGCTGAGCCGCTGGCCCTAGAGCCCCAGCTGTCCTCTGAGCTAGGGGGCCCTGCCACACCCACACCTCCCACAAACTGGCCACTAGGTTCCTTAAACTCCAGTCACCTTGAAAAGAGCTGCAGTAAAGGGTCCACGCAGAGAAGAAGGGCTCACTTTGGAGTAATAATGTCATGTGACCTTCTAGAGGCTGTCATTCTGCAGAACACATTCCCTGAGAGTCCTGACTCTGGGGAAGTCTGGACAAATTGCCCTCACTGGCCCAGATTTTTTAGGACTAGAGTTTTCTGATTTAGCAGCTGAGAACAAAATGTGGGGCAGAAAAAATATTCCTACAGTCCTGCCATGACATCCAACATAAAACAAACTACATTTTGAATGGTGTTCCTTTGTGCAGACAGTTTTAAAGAGAACCATCTCCTGAGAAGAGCACCAATGACAAGTTTAAGAATTTGTCAAGTAAAAAAAAAAATTTGTCAATAGCTCCTTGAGGTTTTTCTGGCTTTCTGCAAAGCTCGGACTGCAAATAAATAGCATGGTCCATTTTCTATTAGCAAGGCAAGTTAAAATCAGAGACATTTGAAAAGATTCATTTTCACCCCAGTGGATTTTTTTCACTCCTCTGCAGGAACACAGCAGCTATTCTTTGACCGTGGAAGCAAAAGATGGCTATGGGCAAGTAACAGACCATCCAGTCCACCAAGCTCAAGTTCAGATTCGTATCCTGGATGTCAATGACAATATACCTGTCGTGGCAAATGGACTGGTAACTTACTGTTACAATAACTATAGCTACTTATTCACTTTTAAGATTTGTATTATGTAAAAAAAATCATGTGTTCCTATTTTTCAGCTCGAAGGGACGATCAAAGAGAATCAAGTCAACGTAGAAGTTACACGCATAAAAGTCATTGATGCGGATGAAGTAGGCTCTGATAACTGGTTAGCAAATTTTACATTTGTATCAGGAAATGAAGGGGGTTATTTCCACATAGAAACTGACGCACAAACGAACGAAGGGATTGTGACCCTCGTTAAGGTAAGTCGTGACTGTTTAAGACAGGTGGGACAGGTCGCTGCTGGAGAAAAGCTAACAGATTTTAAGCCTAAACACAAATATTTTAGGCGCACAACCAGCATTGTAATTGTTTGCGATATGGGCCATCTGTTTGATTAGTAAGTAGTCGCAGTGTAGGTTAAATTTAGATCTCGGAACTCTGAGCCTAGCCAGTCGGCATGGTACCAGCGACATTGCTTAGTACACTTCCGGTCTTTGTTTGCTGCCCATGTATGGCTGCAGCATGACCTTGTTCTCTACTGAGTATCCTTTAATTACCAGTGCGTATGTATCTGCTTCACAGTAAAGCTAAACCCCGCTAAATAACATTGAGAAATTGAACTGTGTTAAATTGATAGTCAAGGGTGCTTAAGAATCACTCACTAAAGCTTCATGCCAAAAAATAGATTCCTAAGCCCTGTTGTCAAAAAAGTCTAACTAGGTTTGACTCAAGATCTTGCCTTTTAGGCAAAAATCCACTTGTGGTTCTAATATAAATTGTGTGAGAGCTGCATTTTAAAGTAATCTAATCTTGTATGTCATTGAATGGATGAAGAAAAAAAATGGAATTTAAACCTCATTGTTAAGCATGTGGTTCTTACCCATCTAGGTTTTCCAACAGAACTTTTTAAACAAAAATTACAAGGTAATTACCTTACCAGATTTAAAAATAAAATGTAAAGCTACAAAGTTTCAAAATATCTCTTTAAATTATATACAGACCCAAAAAAATGGATTCCAGAAATTACCAGTTTTATAAACACTTAATTTTTGAAAATCTAGGAAATCTAGGTAAAATCTGATAGGAAAAGGAAAATGTATAACAGAAAAAGAAATAATTACCTTGATATTTCTTAGTGATAAATTTGAGCATGACTTGTTGATAGGCTACTGTATGCATTTAAACTACTTTGAGGGAAATTGAATTGTTTTACCCTAAGACACATTTTATGGTTATGGGAAAAATGGATAATGTCATCAGAGACAAAAATAATTCATCTGAAAATGAAAATGAAAAATAATTCACCTGCTTATGATGAAAGAAGCATAATTTTTAATCATCAGTTTAGGCAAAACCATGTCCCGTGTTTGAGATACAAATGCCATAACATGCATGAGAGGAAGCAGCCGCACACATGAATGACAGGGGTGCTGTAAGCGTTTTTTAAGTCAACCATGACACATACAGAAAAAGGAATATGGTTATTTCTACCAAGAGTAGTATGGATGAAAAATAGTAGAATTAGCATTATAGTAAATGCAACAGATTTAAAAATTACAAATTTATTTTCTCGATTAAATAAAGAATTGCTTCCAAATTTTAAGGACAGTAATCAGCTACTGAAACGCAGTTAGATAAAGAAGATACACAAATAATAAATGTGCACAATGAAAAGGTGCCCAATGCCATCCATCACTAGAGAAAGTTAAAAAAACCATAAAAACTACCAGTATGCATATGCTAAGATGGCTAAAATCAGTGTCTTAGCCTGTTTGGGGCTGCTGTAACAAACTACCACGTACCTCGTAACAACAGAAATGTATTTCTCACAGTTCTTGAAGCTTGATTCCATTCCTGAGCACTGACACCTCCCAAAGGCCTCTTCTCTCAAGATCATCCTTTTGAGGGTTGAGATTTCAGCATATGCATTTTATAGGGCTACAAACGTTCAGTCAAAAATGGCAAGAGTATAAAGAAATGAACTTTTCTGTATTGCTGTGGAAATAGAAAATGACTTAGCCAGTTTGTCAGAATTTTTTTTTAATTTAAATATAGAGTAGCTACCCTATGACCTAGCAATTTTATTTAGAAATACTTGCCCAAGAAAGATTAAAAAAAAGTGTCTATATGAAGACTTGTAATAAATGTTCATAGCAGCATTACTCATAATAGTGAAAATCTGCTAACAAACGTCTATGAACTGATGAGTACATTAAGATGGTTATATCCACATATTAGAGTACCATTGAACAATAAAAAGGATTGGAGTATTGATAATATGCTACAACATGGATCAACTTCAAAACCACTTGTGCTGTATGGAAGGAGCCAGATACAAAATTCCATGTAATACAGGATTGCATTTATGGAAGAATTCTAAGGGCTGGGTTTTAGCTCAATGGCATAAGCGCCTGTCTGGCAAGTGCAAGGTCACGAGTTCAATCTCCAGCACCAAAAAGAAAGAAAGAAAAAGAAAAAATATTCTAGAAAAGACAAACTATGGAGACAGAAAACAGATTGGTGATTGTTTAGGCTTAGGGAATGTGAGGGAGGTTGATCACAAATTTGCATGGAGGAACTTTTTGGAATGATGAATGTATTTTAAACTAGAATGTAGTCAAGATTGCAAATATTACAAGTCATCATGCTTTAAACATAAAATGGGTGGATCTTACTGTGTATAAATTATGTCTTAGTGAAACTTTCAAAATACAGAGATGAAAAGAAGTCATAAAATACAGTATAATGACACTAATCATGAAAACAATCCATTGCTTTGCTAACAAATTTAAAACCTCTAATGCCATTGAAAAATAGCAGAAATGGAAATGTAAAAATGCTGATAAAGTTATAAAAAGTAAGTATTTGTCCTCATACGATATTCCTGATGCTGGAGCATGGTGGTTACTGGTGACAAGCACTATGAAACAGTACTTATGACCCCAGAACCTCGCTGACTTTTTCCACATTGTCCTTGCCATTGAATGCCAGTGATAGCTGACTGGAAGATTTTATTCCTCATCCAGTCAGCATGGCAGCATCAAAACAGATGTGCCAGCAGCAAGAACAGTTTAAAAGTGCTTTCATCAAGGTTTTACAACCACGAAGTGTCTCATTTCTCCATGTTCTGTCACGTTCTGGTCCCAGCACCACAGTAACCCATATTTAAAAGGGAGCAAAAGAATACTGTTGATGGAGAACGCTTCACAAAGAAAAACAAAATTCAGAATAAATCATCCATGAGAGAAGTGAACAGCTTTGCTATAAATCATGTAAACACATGTATAGTGTTTAATTGTATGTTGAAGAAACAAGCAAAAATGATCCATCTAAATGGGCAGGGACACTGGAAATAAAAAGTAAAAACAGAATAGAAACAAATACTGAATTTTGTCTAGGTAATTGTTTCACTAATAGGATATAAAATATAAAGCGACAGAGGAAAAGCAAGTAATATAAATGTTCAGACCAATATTTTATTTCAAAGTTGCAAATAGCCCAGATGCTTAGTAACAGAATAGCTAAGTAAATTATATGTAAATATCAAATACTATAGAAATGTTTATAAAAGGAAATGGAAAAATTGAAATTAAAATATGTGTGCAGTGATAATTAGCTTGTATCAAATAGGTGTGAAAAATACGATTCACAAAGAACTATTTGAAAAGAACCTAATTTTATTGAGTGAGTAGCAAAACAGATTTTAACAAGTATCTGCTACAAAAGGAAAAACTAGGTTTTTTTGTTTAAATACATCTGAAAATACCTGAGTTTTTTCTTTACTACAGAAATTTATCAGTTTTTTTAATATGTTAATGAGCAGTATAAATCTATTTTAGGGGATAGAGATGGCAGTGTAAATCCAGGGGACACATTTTAAGGAATACTAATTTTTACTGAACGTTCATTAATGTTCCCATTCCACTTCAGCATGTTAAGATAAAAATGTATTGCAAGTTACTTTGTGCTTTACTTGTGCAAGTTACTTTGACCTTTAGAAAAATAAATTGGGAATACTCTTCAAGCACTTAGCTGGATATTATGAATATCCAGACTACTGCTAGAGCATTTTTAACTGCGTGGTATAAATAAGAGTTGGAACATCCATGTATCGTTATTATATTTAACATTAAAAGTGTGTGTGTGTGCGTGTGTGCACACTCTATGTCCTAGTTATGTTCTCTTAAAAAGATTCCTCTTTGATTTTGGCTTTCTAGGAAGTAGATTATGAAACAATGAAGAATCTTGACTTCAATGTTATTGTCACTAATAAAGCAGCTTTTCACAAGTCAATTATGAATAAGTATAAACCTACACCCATTCCTATCAAAGTAAAGGTGACAAATGTGAAAGAAGGCATTTCTTTCAAAAGCAGCACAATTTCGGTTCATGCTCGCGAAGGAATGGATATATCAAGCCAAAGCCAATCCATCGGAAAGTTTCAAGTTTTTGATGAAGACACTGGACAATCAGCTAATGTAAAGTAAGAAAATGTTATGACTATATTTTCTCATTTTAAATTACTTTAAATGCCTATTTTCAAAATTAATAATGAAATTTAAGCACCTTACTTCTTCACGTGCCAACATTGCAGTTCACCAAAGGTCTATAGATTAAATTTCCCAAAGTCATGCCTGAAAATGCAAGATGAAAACAAATTTTCCAGAACCTTCCTTCAGCCTGTGTTTGGGGACGAGCCTGGGTTCCTTACCACAGAAACAGTCGTGGCTAGAATTGGCTGAAAAGCAGTAAAGGCAAAGTTGGAGAAAGAAAACCAGCTTTCTAAAATCCATCTTATTTCTCCAAAGTACTAGAAGGAAGACAGAAGATGATAAAACTTGCCACAAATTCCACTTTACATAAGCTTGGATAAAAGCCGTAGTTGCTTTGTGTAATTTACTATGGGAAAACAAGTTCACTCACAAATAAAACATAGGAACTAATCTTCATTTTAAATCATGCTTTTTTGGTTCAGGAGTGGATGAATTTTTTTTTATATATTTTTCTTAATCATGGTGACCTTTACTATACTTACTGAAAACCCAGGAAAGACCACCACGGTGCCAGAAGGGCCTGGTTGTTTCCTGTGTGCATTCTATAGAGTCCCCTTAGATTGGCATGATATTTTTAAATTTTCAAAGTAACTTCTTAGGAAGAATGCTGTCTACAAAGTAAGTATTTATGGAGTTACAGTTACTTGGTTGAATTTGAGGAAGTCCCACATAATGCACGCACAGTTCTGTGTCTTTCTGCCCCAGTGCTAGAGCTGCATGGTTGTTTGTCTGTCCTTATGTCTCTGTGTGCCAGTACTCCATTTAGAAGCATGGATAATTATGGCAAAAGTAAGGAGAAAATCTTTAACAATTTTCTTTTTAATGAACCTCCTTTAACGGAACTCATCAACCATAGATTCAAATAACCTTTTTCCAAAATAATAAAACAAACATTTCCCATGTTTTTCACAGTGTTTGGTAACCGTCTTTTGCCTCCCGTCCCTGTAGGGCAGCCAGCCTTCTTGAACTAGGTGGTTTAGTTTGTTTTTTGGTTTCTTTGGCTTTTTAAAACCATCTTATGGCTTTTGTTAAGCTATGGTAGGGTATAATATTCCACAGAAAAGGTTGTCATAGGTTTGTATATTTACTAGTACATGTTTCCTGTACATGGTGATTACATTCATCGTTGGGAGTTGGTACTCTGTACCCAGCCAGGCAGTCCCTAACGGGTCCACAGAACTAAGGTTCGCTGTAAGGTTCTGTATGATTTCTCACTGCTGTCCTCTGAGAAATCTGTGCTTCCAATGAATCATCTGCCAATAATACTGTGGCTGTCTGTTTAAAATTCTCTGCTTCCTACCAATGTTTAAATTTTGACTGCTGTTTTTATTAGGTACTGGGAATGTGTTTTTTTTTTTTTTTAAAGTGTGTTCTCACTGGAAAAATGATGGAGCATGCATGCTTCTTTTATACATATTTATAGACTTTAGAATACAAGAAAAATGCTGGCAAGGTTTTGGGGGGAAAGGAACCCCTTTCCATTGTCAGTGGAAATGGAAAGTGATACAATCACTAGAGAAATTAGTGTAAAGGTTCCTCAAAATGGTAAAAATAGAAATTCCTTCTGACTCAGCTATTTCTTTTTTGATATCTCCCCACGAGTTAGAGATATCATATTACAATGATACATACATACCCATGTTTATAGCAGCACAGTTCATAATAGAGTAGCTAAATCCTGGAAATAGCCTGTAGGCCAATCAACAGATGACTGGATAAAGAAAATGTGGTCTGTACACACAGTGGAGTACTACTCAGCCATAAAGATGGATAAATTTGAGTCACTTGTAGAAAAATGAATGCACCTTGACAATATAATACCAAGTGAAATAAGTCAGACACAGAAGACTGAATATTGCATGATTTCTCCTGTATGAAAAACCCAAAATATAAATAATTTCAAGAACAAAATAAAAAAATAGATGATAGGAAACAGTAAGGCAGACTTTGTGAAGATGAGAAAGGGATCTGGGGATTAGGAGAGACGGGAGAGAGGAGAAGAGGAAGTAAAAATGTATATGTACCAATTTCCCAGGCTGAATGTAATTATTATGTATCACAGCGTGTGCTAATAAAAATTTAAAAAATGAAAAAGATCTTAAAAATCAGTGCAAACTTATTATTTTTCATAATGGGAGACACAGCTAAATTAAATCATTTCCCAATATTCACTTACTCTGTAGTTACTATTTTGAAATCTTAATAAAGACAAAAAATCATTCCTTTAACTGTGTTATAATTTTCTATTTTACTGATTATTGTTGTCAGTTGTTTATGGATATTTGTTCCGTGTGTGAGCTGGATAGTGCCTGATTTCCACAACAGAGACGAATAGTTAGAAAGTCCCTGAAATTAGACCACACGAACCACATCTTTGTGTGATTTTATTTGTAAGACTCTGCCTTCATTGTAAGGATGAATGAGGGAAACTGAATGACAGGTAAATTCCAGTTTTAAAACTCCTGACATGAAATTCAGAAGAACTTATGAAAATCCAAATATATAACCATTTGCCAGCTGAAATACTAAGAGGCATGAAAATTTAGTTCAAGTGTACAATTGGGTCTTTTTAAAAACAGCACCATCAGCATTGCTGTAAGTGAGCCGCCCAGTCCTTTGGCCATTAGACAGTCATTTAATAGAAAACAAGTGAGTAATCTTGATTGGAAGAACCAAGATACTCATACATTGGGCTTGCATTTGTGTTTTATGTCTTAAACTCAGAATTAATTATATACTTTTTTGAAAATACAATCTGGACATTCTCCCAGCTCTCCTGTAACTGAATCTTTCCATAAGTTAGGTCTCGCTTCTTTGCAGTAAGAAACCCAGAAATCTTTTCAGCATGTGTTCACGTCTAACAAATTCTGCTCAAAAATTACTGTGCTCAATAACCAACAATAAACTTTGTAGGTGTTTCCATTTAAGGCAACTATTGCTTTTAAAATGAAGATTTTAACATACTGACAGCACAGAAAATCCAAATGTGTTTTCCAGTACACAGTATAATTTAAGAATACTTTTCTCCACCTATCTTGTTGTATAACCAAGTTATTCCCCAAAGATTGACCCAGATTTAAGAGAGACCGGATCAGAAGCTACAGGACAGGGCAGAGCGGTTTGTGAACTTCCACTCACCCTTGGTTGTGTGCCTTGAGTACATTATAGTGTAGGATGCTTCCAAGGTGGACTGATACGCAGTCAGTGAGAAGAGTTTCAGCACAATTTTAAGGAATTAAAAGCATTCCAAACAAATGCCTGTCACAAGAACATTTCCAGTGAGATAAAAATTATATTTGAATGATTTGTCAAGATTCTGAATTTATCCAGAATGAAAACTGAATTTTATGTTTGTTTTATCACAGATACGTAAAGGTGGAAGACAGAGACAATTGGGTTTCAGTGGATTCAGTCACATCAGAAATCAGACTTGTAAAAATTCCTGATTTTGAGTCGAGATATGTCCAAAATGGTACATACACTGTAAAAATTATAGCTGTGTCACAAGGTAAGTTATTAATATGCTTTTTTAGTCATTACAGGTGTTTGGATTTTATCTTCTAGCATCAGAAGCTTTTGTTTTGAATGTGTTTTTAAAAATCAAATCTCTTGAATGGACTACCTTCATATCTATCATTTAGTAAACATGGGACATACATAGAATAAGAGGTGTCCGAAGTGTTTCATATATGCTGGGTGCCAAAATGCAAGAATTTCAGGTTATCTTATTGTTGGTCTTATGATCAGAGCACACATAGATTTTTATTCTTACTTTTAAGATGATCTTAGAAAAACCATCACTGGCACCGTCCTTATCAGCGTTGAAGACATCAATGACAATTGCCCCACCCTGGTGAACCCCGTGCAGAGTGTCTGTAAGGATGCACCGTATGTGAACGTTACAGCACAGGACCTCGATGGATACCCCAACAGTTGGCCGTTCAGCTTCTCAGTCATTGATACACCACCTGGAACAGCAGCAAAGTGGAAAATAATACACCAAGAAAGTAAGCAAAACCATTGGACTACATTCACGTCATGTATAAATATTAAGCGTGGTGGATATCTGCTTATAAATGACATTTCTAGTGTAGATTTTTTCAGAGAGATTATATAATGTAGTTCAGAACCCATGGGCATGGTATTTTAATATCATTTTCATGTCTGCAGAGAGGAGAAAAATGTTCTAAAATGCCTTAAGAGTAACTCTTGTCTCATAAGCTGAGGATGAACAAGCCTTCCTGGGTTTCAAATCACATCAGGAACTGTCTTAAAACTCTTGAGGTAGGCTAGTAATAATTCCATTTCAAGTAACATTTATTGAACACTTACCATGTATATCAGGCACTGTTTATGCATTATCATACTTAACCCTTTAATCTGTTCAAAGTTTCAAAGTCAGTATGTGATAGACAGCATGATAGGGTTCTGTCTGATACCCCACATGCAATGTCCCTATCTTGGGAGCATCCCACTTGCTGATGTGTGCCTTTGTGTGACCTTCAAGATGGTCTTGAATGTGGAAATGTCTCTCTAGAAGACTTGTTCCAAACAGTATTTACTTCAGAAAAGTTTCACATACAGCCCTCAAGCTTAGTTTACAGGTTTAATGTGGTATTTTACATCGGGCAAAGGTTTGCAGTCATTTTAAGTGCTTTGAATAATATTTGGTCCGATTTACAAGTTAAATACCGTCTACATTCCAAACTACATTATAAATTTAGTATACTTGGTTTCCTTTGCTTTAAAGATTTCAACAATTTGAATTGACAAGTAAATCCTCCCTATGTTCCTTATCCTTTAAAATTCCAGTAAATTAGCTGGGCATGGTGAAACCTTCCTGTAATCCCAACATGAAAGAGGTAGAGACCAGAAGATCACTATGGGTTTAGGATCAGCCTGAACTACTTAGTGAGACCCTAAATAAGTAAATAAATAAACATTTCCAATAAATTGAATTTATAAGTGTGTTGAACTTAGAATTCTCTTCAGTCTTCATACTGAACGAAATAGTGACCTTTCAGTCTGGAACCATAAATCTGTGTCAGTAACACAATCATACATTTTAAATTGGAGTTACGAAGCTATCATGCTAAGAGGACTACTTTTCCTAGTCCCTTTATAAGTATAATAAGACAAATAATAAATCCCTGACGCACAAATATTTAAAAAGTATGCCTGATTTGTTCTAAGTATTCTTTTGTTCGACAGCAGGTCTTCTTGGGGTTTATGGTGTGTCTTGGTTATTTTTTTGTGACTGGGACAAAATAGCTAACCCCCAAAGTTAAAGGAGAAAAGATTTACTTGGCTTCTAGGATATAGAGGTTTCAGCCCATGGTTGGCTGGCCCCAAGGCAGGGTGGCATGGCAGAAGGGCATTGAAGAGGAAACAGTCCATGGCAAACAGGCAGGTGAGAGCCTCTTTCTGCCCCTTATATTTATACAGGCTCTTTGCCCTAGGGTGGGTGTAACACTCATACCCTTAATCCTAGCAAGAACTATATCAAATCAGTCACTGGACTGATTAAGTAATCACACACCCTTAATTCCAGCACCACACACTCAAGATCCAGCCACCTCTGAAAAGCCCTACTATGACTGCCTGAGGCTTTAGGGGAACATCTAGACATAAGCCATTATAGTGCGCTGACTTGAAGCAGTCACTTATGCCCAAGGTAGGCCAAGGTTACCCTCCGTAGGAAGGATGACAGTCATCACAGTAATCAGTTGAAGTTCCCTAAAATCATGCGTTCAGCTGGTGAGATTCCTCGGTCGAGGATCTAGGTAATTTTTCATCAGAGACCTCAAAACTTGCACGTATTCAGCTTATACTCAGAGAGGTCTGGGGTACCACCAGGATAAATGTTTGATGGAGTTCGCCTTTCTTTGAGCAAGATACCTAAATGAATTTGGTATTGAACTTACTGGAAATCCAAGACATGTTTATTTTCTCTAAGAATTATATGGCGTTCAGGATATGCTGGACATTGTCTTAAACACTTTTTAATATTAACAGCTCTAGAAGTTTGTTATTATGATCATCAATGTTTTCTAGATAAGGAAGCAAAGACACAGCAAGCTTTACCCACTCCCCAGACCACAGGTGTTAAGAGCTAAGGTTGGGATTTGGCCCAGACCATCTGGCTCTGATGCCTGTACTGGCTGGGTTCTGTGCTGTGTTTAAGTCTGATGAGTTCTTGAGTTGTCACATCCTTAGGAGCATAAAACTCTTCATGACCTATGTTGTTACCAAGTTACAACCAGAAGTCCCTGAGATTGTCCTTTGTGTGATTGTGCAGTTGAGAGAAAGAGAAATCCGTAACTTTATTCATGGTTCTATAAGAAGGGGACCAATCAACTGTTGGGATAAGCAGGAGCTTCCATCTATTTTTATTTACCTGGGAAAATGTTTAGATACAGAAAATTCCATAGGTAAACAAGTCAGACCTCCTTATACTTATTGCCTACAATGCAGAGAATACAAACAACCAGTTGGATTTAAGTCAAGCTTCTGTCTCCAAAATGATAACTGATAAGAGTACAAATCCCTTTCCCCTCCTCCTTTACCCACCTCAGAGTCCATCTGCATTGATTTGGTGAATCTGAGGAGCTGTCCGCACACCTTTTTATGCAGCAGTGAAATAAGCCTGGTTATACTGTTCTCTTTCTCCACATTTCATAGGTATAATCTTCTAGGCCACTTCCTGAGTTCATTCTCCTTAAACAAAGCCCCCCCAAGCCTAAGAGGTCACTTTAAACATGTGTTACTGACCACACAGACCAAACTCCATAAAATGTAGAATTTAAAATGCAAAGCTATTTCTTACTTCAACAGAACAATCAGCTGGGTATGGTGGCACGGGTTTGTAATCTCAGCACTCAGGAGGCTGAGGCAGGAGGATTGCAGGAGTTCAAAGCTAGCGTGAACTGTATAGCAAGACCCTGTCTCAAAAAACCCAAATAAATGAATAAAGCACCCAGAATAACAAATTGTATAGTTTTTACACTTGATCTTAGCCAAAAAGCCAAGAAGCAATAATCATGTAGCTTTTTATCATTCTCTTGCAAGTAAATTTTCTTTTTTGATGCAGGGTCTCATTAAGTTGCTAAATTACCCTGACTGGGCTCAAACTTTTGATCCTCCACCCCTCAGCCCTCCAGCATGCTGAAATAGGCATTTCTCAACCATGCCTAGCCAGTAAATTATTTTTAATAAGTAGTATACTTACTGAAAAGTTTTAAACTATTCTAATGAATTACTATTTTTAGTCATGTGAAATCTAGTCATTTTTACTAGACATGGTGGTACACACCAGTAATCCCAGCATTCAGGGGGCTGAGGCAAAAGTATTGCTGCAAGTTCGAGGTCAGCCTGGGCTGCAAAGTGAGTTCAAGGCCAGCCTGAACTGAATAGTGAGATCCTGTCTCAAAAAGAAGAAAAAAAGAAAGAGAAAACTTGTCATTTTTATATGTGAAACAAAAATTTTAAATGATCATTAGTCTCTTTGGTTTTTTCTTACAGTGTTGGGAATTGAGCCCCGTACTTATTAAATAGGTGCTCTACAACTGAGCTAATTAACTAAGAACATGTGGTGGTAGCACGTGACTATAATCCCAGCACTCAACAGGCCGAGAGGTAGGATGATCACTGTGAGTTCAGAACCAGTCTAGGCTACATAGTGAGTTCAACAGTAGCCCGAACTACACAGTGAGACCCTGTCTCAAAAAAAAAGAAAAAAGATGAGGTCATTCACCGAACACTTCCTGTGTCATCTTCTTGCCAAAAAATGTATCACCTGAATCCAGCTTTGAGGAAGCAGACAAATCCAAGCTGTGGAACAGACTTTGAAATCAGTGGCTTTCAAATATGTGCAAGTTTTGAAATACCAAAAGGAACAGTGAAATTCCAGATGAGTAGAGACCACAAGAAATGTGTGGTTGTTGGCTGGACGTAGGGTCAAAAAAGAGAGCAGGACAGAGGCTTCCAGGGCATTATGAAAGGATATTATGACAGTTGAAACGTTGGCTAATGAGTTACACACTAGGAGGCGTTTTTATGTCAGTAATATGTTTTTCACTGTCCCATCATCTTAGAAAGTCTGTGCTGAAGAAGGTCCTGCTATCCATAACTGACTTCAAAGTAGTTCAGAAAGTTGTTTTTCCCAGTTCTGCATGTGTAAAGAGAATGTAGTCACTGCTGGTGTGAACAATTAGTGCAGGATATAGCAATATCCACTATAATGTTCTTGCAGCCTTGTAGATTTGAAGCTTTCAAATTTTTGAATACATGGCATTGAGAACAAAAAGGAAGGAACTAGAGAAAATGAGATTAGCTGTTGGGGGAAATCATTAAGGCCGGGAATGGGTGTCCCAGGTGTTGCGGCTCTTCTCTATGTCATATTCTAGGTTTGAAGACTGCTCAGTACTATTTGTTTATTTAAGAAATGGTAAAATAAGGGCGGAGGTTGTAGCTCAGTGGTAGTGCTTACCTGAGCCCTGGATTCCATCCCCAGCACCAAGGAAAAGGAGGAGGAAGGATAAGGTAAGGGTCATCCAGCGTTGGTTAACTCACCTGTTTGCCACTGTATTCCTGCTGTGTGGAACAGTTCCCGGCATTTGGTAAACTACACATATTAGCTAAAATTAATCATCATGAAAATAACATGTCCCCATGGGATCCTTCCCTGTTTAAGCTGTGTGTTCAAAGGCTGTAACAAATTCTGACAAGTACAGAGCATAAATCCAGTAAGAATGAAGGAAAGGCGAGGCTTCCAGGTTCCAAGAGCTCTCTGTAATCTGGCCTCTCCCTTTCCTTGGTGGTCACGGTCTTCGCTTCCCTCCCGCTTCTCCCCTGCAGGTACCAGCGTGCTGCTGCAGCAGGATGAGCACAAGCTCGGGAGAAGCAAAATTCCGTTCCTGATTACAGACAATCAGGGCCTCAGCTGCCTGGAGAAGCAGGTCCTGGAGCTGACGGTGTGTGAGTGTCTGCACGGCAGTGGCTGTGTGGGCGCGCAGCGTACCTCCTACGTGGGCCTGGGGCCTGCAGCCATTGCTCTCATAATCTTGGCCCTTCTGCTCTTGCTGCGTAAGTCTCGAAAGCCCTTCTTGAGCTCCCTTAGTGATCTGAAGGCATTACTGGCAGTTTCTTACGAGAGCAGTTTCTTAGGATTTCCTTACAGTGTTTCTTGAACGCTTTGAGACTGCATGAGAAAATATAGTCGCTGATAGTTGACAAGTTTACCAAATCTTATTACAGGGTTCTCATAGTCCCTTCTTGTCACTGGGACAAAATACTTGGCACCCACATCTTCAGGAAGGAGAGGTTTATTGGGGTGCCTGTTCTCAGCACAGGATCAGCTAGCTCCAAGGCACAAACAGCAGAGTGAGTTGGGGTTGGTGGAAGAAAGCCGAGGATGCTGTGGCCTGCAGGAGCCAGGGAAGGGAGACACTCTGTCCCCAGTGCCACCCCTGAGAGCACCTTCAGCAGCACAGGGTGCTGGGAGCCATCGGCCCCGGGAGCCAGTCACCTCCCAAAAGTCACACTTCTGAACACAGGAGGCCTTGTGGGGACAGTCTAGCTCTAAACCATAGCAAGCACCCTTATCAGAGTTTTGTCTTAGAAAAGTGTATTCTGATTTTTTTAAAAACCAAGGTACCACGTGTTCTCCAGGCTACTTTTGCCATGAGCACCGCCGTGTCCTAGGTAGGATGCTGTCTGTTCATCTCTGCTCTTTTCAGAGCACCCAGAGTAGTGCCCCTCACATAGTAGATCCTCAGAAATGACTTGCTGCATGAATTTGGAATATGGACACAAGATTGTTTTATGAACCAGTTTATTCAGTCGATCTTCACTTTGTGCACTGAAATTGTTAGAGCTCTGCCTCACTGACCCCTGCGGGGCAAGCTTCTACATCTGCACCAGCAGCAGCCAGGCCCTCCAGCCTGTCCTGTCTGCCCTGCCTACCTACCGTCCAAAAGACTGGAGTTTCCTCTCATGAAAGAATTAAAGGGTGCCACAGGGGTCACGTGCAGTTCACTCCACTCACCCCTGAACCCAGGCAGAGCACCTCCTTGCAGGCACTCTGGACTATCTCAGTGAGGAGCCAGTTAAAGCCATTAGCAGGTGCCTAGTGGAACACAGCACTCAGCAGCTTACAGCATAGCCGTGTGCCACTGCCTGCATGTCCCAGGTCGTTACAAATAGACACACATAAGGGAAAATGACCCATCTCGGCTTACCACACCAGGACAGCACCTCTTCTTGGGGCATCCTTGCACGACCTTTTCACCTCAGACTCCCCAGAGCCTACTGAGACTCTTGCCGCATGACAGCCAATTAGATCAATGTTTATTGAATATGTTGAAATTATTGAGTCGCCACTGGCCGACTTCAGACTCTATATTAATCATGGTAGCTATAGTGACTGGGCAGAATCACATGGAAGTAGTACTCAGATAATCCAAAAGTTAACTGAGACCTCAGAGGTCATGCCTTGTGCAAAATTTCACTCTAAGGTAAAGTATTTTAACCATTTCAGTGTTCTAGAATATTTGAATATATTAAATTTTTTCTTTTAAGAGCTTTTGATCTTGGTAATATATCTCTCTGTGGATAGTAAATTTACAAAAACATTAGGGAAGTAGTTTTTAAAAATGTAATCTGTGCATTGGATTTGCTAGTTTGCATATTATCTCGCACATTCTTAATATTCTACTTGGTGCCATAGATGGTCTCTTTGTGAGGAACAAGGCGTTTAAGCCTGTCAGTGTTTCTTCTTCTGCCCTCAGGCTGTGGCATAGCACATCCAAAACAAGCTTGGAGGGGTTGGATGAGGGTAAAAAAAAACACTGAAACACATGACGTGCAAATTCCAGTTGTACAGCTCATAGGAGAAATGTGTCAAGACTGACCTTCTCTGTACTCACTTCTGTGTCTGTGTAGTTGTGCCATTTTTGCTGCTGCTGTGTCATTGTGGAGAGGGTGCCAAAGGCTTCACGCCCATACCCGGCACTATAGAGATGCTGCATCCTTGGAACAACGAAGGGGCTCCACCTGAAGATAAGGTCAGTTTGGTGGATAACCAGTGCAGCTCTCATCTTTTCTGATCCTCAAGGGGCTTAGGAAGTATTTCTGATGTCTTTGGTTATGAAAGAGTAATATTGTAATACTGTGAGCTGCATATTTGGTGTTCATTCCCATTTCCTGCCGTACAACTCCAAAAGTCCTTGGAAATTTGGAAGTGGTAGTTTCCTGACATCTGAGATGGCGGGGGGGTGGGGGGGGTGGGCGGGGTCTGAGTTTTCTCCATCTGAGATCTGCCACCATCTCCAAGTAGACAATGTCAGCATCAAATGGACTTACAGGGTCCTAACTGGAGTGCACTGCAGAATTGATTGCTTGCTTGCTGGCGGGGGAAAGACCTCACAAGAAACGCTTGTGAGGTCACAGAAGTCTGCATTAATCATCGTATTGAGAGCAGAGCAAAAGCAGGTTGTTTTCTCAACAGTAGTCATCACAAATTTCATGCACATGCCTTTGTGAAGCAAAGGCTTCTAGTGACAGCATATTTTGCTTGGTTGCCAGGGCAAAACTGAGGTGGTCTCACAGCATTGTGATACAGGGTGTGTTAATCACAGTGTAACCATGGTTGGGTAGTGACCCAGGGAATGCAGAGCAAGGGTCAGGGACAAAGCATTAGTTAGCTTTCGTGTTGCTGGAAAACAATACCTGACACCCAGGATTTAAAGAAGGAAAGATTGAATTTGGTTCATGGTTTCAGGGGATTGGTGGCTGCAAGGCAGGAACATCGTGGCGAAGGGGATAAGAGCAAAGCAAAGCTGCTCAGTAGCAGAGCTGTCCCCTTCCTGGGCAGAGGAAGGGGACAGTGCCAGAGAGGAAAAAGCAAGGGACCAGAAGCAGTACCCAAGGTCACACTTCCAGGGCCCACCCAGACATGGCCGGAAGTATACTCCACCAGTCCCTTGGTGTCTCCCAAGCCATTCAGGTTGACACAGTCTAGCTTAGCCACCACAGACACAGAGCTGTATAGCAGTCCAAGATAGAAGTTTTCATCCCAATATCAAGTGGCAAATTTTTCATCACAGAAAGTGCTCCATTTCTGTTCTCCATACATCCAGGTGACAGCAGTAAACCTTCAATCCCCATGACAGAGTACTGGGTTTCAGTTCTGTGCTGTCCTCATATTCTGGGTGCCTCCCTACTGCATTCACATTCAAACTATTGGTTGGGAGGAGAGTAAAGGAGCACTCTCCGTAAACACATTTTCCGTGAGTTGGCTTACACCATTTCTGCCAGATTCACTGGGGCTTGAACCCAGATCCATCACACTGAGCTACATTCCCAGTCTCTCCCACCTTCCTTTTTTGAGACAGGATCTCAATAAGTTGCCCAGATTGAATTTGAATTTACAACTCTCCTGCTTCAGCCTCACAGAGTATTCAGATTATAGGCATGCACCACCTCACCTGCTTACAGCCCTTATTTTGAATCCATGTGTCCAGCTAAAAATGAAATTAAGGATTCTTTAACCATAGCAGAAGGCTGAAACCTTAGAGGAATGTTAAAATGCTATTGGCCCCCGTGGAGTAATTGAGCTGAGACTATAGAGGAAGTTTGGTTTTTGTTTCTGGTTCATACTTAGCTATGAAAGAAGGCAGAATGAAGATCACAAGACTCACACAGAAGTTATTCAATCCAAAATATCCTTGCTGAATCATCTCTGTGGAAAAGCTCATTCATTCTTATGCCCCCGTATCTCTGATCCTTCTAACACCCGTGCTGACACTCTGTCCTGACCCTGGTGTCATCTGTGTTTGCACACAGGTGGTGCCAGCGATCCTGGCCGTCGATCACGCGGAAAATGCAACAGTAAGAAATGAAGTGGGAAGTGCAATGGCCAACGAAGGCACCATGAAAGGAAGCAGCTCTACCTCCTTTTTCAAAGTGCAGCAAGACCAGACCAACATGGATGGGAGATGGGAAGAACACAGAAGCCTCCTCGGCAATGGCGCCACCCAGGTGACCGGCACAACAGGAGCCAGGCTGGGAGCTAAGACTTCGTGGATCAGAGGAACCCTGGGGGCTTCCAGAGAGGTGGCTGGAGCCCACACCGCTGCCGCCGGTGTGGTCAGCGAGGAATTCTTAAGAAATTATTTCACTGATGTAAGGCTTATTCTCTTGTTTTCTAGGTAAAGGGTGGGCAGTGAGAGCTGAGACCTGCCGGGTGTCCGTGCAGCCCTGGGAAAAAAGCAATAGCAAAGCTAGGCAGTGGCTCATGAAGCCTCTACCTCTTCTTACAATCTCATGTCAGTGGTCAGAGCAAGTCACACAATGTGCGGAATGCTAGTGTGTCACAATGTGCAACTCCAGGAGGGAAGGGCAGAAAATACATGGCCTGCAAGTCACAGGCTATTCAGTCCATTTAGACTTTCATACACGGGTTACGATAAACAGATAGCTTTGCCTTGGGTATGAAGGCTCCCTATTATGGGAGTTCACAAAAAATGATAAAGTTACAGGAAAAATGATCAGATGCAATAAAGAAACGCATAATGGAATTAATTAATAGCAAGATTAGGGGAAAATGCTGCCTCAAGATAAAATAGATTGCAGAATCCATTTCATTAGCAGGAATAATCAGGAATATTTATTTCATCATGGAAGATGGATCAACTCATCTGGAGACCTAACACTGCTAAAATGTCAGAACCTAATAACAGAAATTTAAAATCCTGAAGCAAAAATTGATAAAACTAAAAGAGAAATAGACAAGTCCATAATTATAGTTGGGAGGTTCAACCTCTTCTGTCAGTAATTCAAAGAAAAGCAGACAGAAAATCCGAAAGATATAGAAAATATAACTGACCACTGACTGGATCCGCTTGGCATTAATACAGCATTAAGTGCCTTAAAGCACAGTACACATTCTTTTCATACAGGCTGAGGTAGAAGTTTAAATACATTTAGTAGAATTTCAGTTTTGCAGAGTAATCTGGCAATAAGCAGTTAAATCAAAAAGTCAATAACAAAGTGATATGTAAAATATAACCAGATAAACACTGTAAGTTGCACATTCTAAATAACTCATGAGTCAAGGGGGAAGAACAATTCATAAACAGTTTGAGCTGACTGAAAATTAAATCATACTTTATCAAAATTTGTGAGGCACTGCTGAAGTAATAATTTGGGGGAAATTTTTATCAAAGAAATGATTATATTAGAAGGCGGCCCTCAATCAGTAATCTAAATGTCCTCTTAAGTTATTAAATAGTAAGCAAAAGGAGGAAGCAATGAAACCAAAAGCTGTTTAAAGAGATTATTTGAAGTTGAACCCCTTAAGCAGTCTAAATAGGATATAAAGGAAGCGGACACAAAATACCAATAAAGAGAACAAATTACAGATCTTACAGGCATAGTAATCAATAAAGAAATGCAAGATGGGCTGCCTTTCTTGAGAACAAGTCCCTTGTGTCCACAGAGATAGGGGAGTGTCAGTGATCTCCAGGACGCTTGAGAGGAGCACGGGGCTTTATTTCCGCCCCTCTCCTCTAAGTTTGTAAATTCCTGGAGTGTTCGGATGCCTTCCACCTCCCCTCTGTAAGTGACCCTTGACCTAGCGTCAGCCTGACAGGTGTCATCCAGGAGAGCTGCTGTCTTCCTTTGCAGTCTCACTGCCACGCTCAGTTCTGGTCCCTGTTGGTGGTGTTTTGATTTGTTTCCTGTTAAAACTTGCTCAAGTCAGTCTTATGTGTGTAGTAAACTTCAACTTGGAAAAATTTCAGCGTAATCTGAAAATTTGCTAGTAGACATTTTGAACTCTTGTGTAACAAGTTTATATTCTCCTGCATTACTGTAGTACAGTTAACAAATTCAGAAATTAACAGCCTACATTTGCTTTAACCAATTTCTGCAAAAATGTCTTTTACAGCAGTTGTTTTCTCTGTCCAAGATCATCCACAATCCTGTGTTCCTTGTAGCTGTCATGATACTTATCTCTCCTTTAATCTGAAACAGTCCTCTCTCCCTTTGTTCTTCATCATATTAACATTTTTTAATACACAGTAGCCATGACATACAATGCTTCTATTTGTATTCCTCTGTTTCTTTGTATTTGGGCTCAGGTTTTGCATTTTAAACAGAAATAGAGAATCTTGTTTCTTGAGTAAATTTCTGTTGCTGATTCTTTGCCTCTTTTTATTTCCACTTTAGAAGGTAGCCTCCTACACTGAGGAAGATGACATTCACATGGCCAAAGACTGCCTCCTGGTTTACTCCCAGGAAGAAACAGCATCTCTGCACGGGTCCATTGGCTGTTGCAGTTTTATTGAAGGAGAACTGGACGACCGCTACTTAGATGATTTGGGACTGAAATTCAAAACACTAGCTGAGGTTTGCTTGGGTCGGAAAATAGATGTGGATATGGAAATTGAGCAGAGGCAAAAACTTGTCAAAGAAACAAATTTGAGCACAGCTGCACACTCACTCTATGAGCAAACCACAGTTAATTCAAAGAATACCTACTCTGGCGGCAGCTTGCCAGTTCCTAAACCCTTGCAGGAAGCCAGTGCAGAGATGGTCACTCAGGAAGTAGTCACCGAGAAATCGGTATCTTCCAGGCAGGGTCACAAGGTGACACCACCTCCTCCTGACCCACTGGCTTCTGATAATATCATAGTGACAGAAACATCCTACACCACAGGCTCTACTGTGTCACCAAGCACTGTGATCCTGGCTCCCAGGCAGCCCCAGAACCTGATCGTGACAGAGAGGGTGTACGCACCAGCTTCCACCTTGGTAGATCAGCACTATGCTGGGGAGGGGAATGTCGTAGTCACTGAAAGAGTAATCCAGCCTAGCGGGACCATCCCTCATCCTCTGCAAGGCTCCCAGCATCTGCATGATGCACAGTACGTTATGGTGACTGAAAAAGAAAGTATCCTTGCACCCGGCTATGGCGGGCAGCCCACCCTGGCCATGCCCAATGTAGGACAGAATGTGACCGTGACAGAAAGAGTGCTGACCCCTGCTTCTGCTCTGGATTCCAGGTACCAGATTGCCTCTGAAGCCTCAGGGAAGGCTGGGACGGCTGTGATTTCTGGGGCTGGAGTCCCTGGCCCTCTGCCACATTCTGGTTTGGAAGGATCTGGCCATTCAAATTCTACCATTACCACATCCTCCACCAGGGTCACAAAGCACAGCACTGTGCAGCATTCTTACACCTAAGCAGCTGCCAGTGCCAGACACACCCAGAGTCTAGCTGGCAGAGACTGCGGGCATATTTTCTGTCTGCCTGGCTCTACGTGGGTCTCCCAACCGTGCAGCGGTGCGCATGCATTGAGCTTACATTTTCTTTCTCAGTCACCAGTACTCAAAGGTCCACACTTTCTCTGCTTCCAGAAGCATACTTCAGAAATGCTTCATGTATCACAGTTGGCATAGTGATGATGCCGTTAAGTGCCTTTTAGTGAGTTATGCAAACAATATTCACAAAACAGAACAGAGTAAATCTGCCTTCTGAGAATTTATCAGATCAACACACTGCCATCCAGGAGAGCAACCTAGGAGCGTGATTGGGTCTCTTCATGAACTGCATCAATATTTCACATCCATGTTCTGTGTTCTCTATGTTACTGCACCCAGCAGGTCATCAACAGCTCACTCACCCAAAGAGCTACCTACAGTCCGGGGGCCGGTTTTGTTGGTGGTTTTCTTTTAATTTGTGGGAAGTTGATTAAACTTTTGAATGCTAGGACGTATGTGTCCATAATGTCACATGCTCTTAAAAATTCCATTGTATTTCCTTGTCTCGATAGTCATAAAAAATTTGAATACTTCAAATTCGATTGTGTAGTCCAGGACAAAATTTGTAAATATAATACAATTTTACTACTTCTACTACTAATAATATCCTACAGGGGAATAGAAACCTCAGGATGTTCTTAATGGCTGCAGTGTAGTGCAGCTAAATTAACCAGCCATATCCTTCCCCGTGGTAGGAACGATGCCTATTTCACTGCCTTATGCTTTCAATGACTCACAGAGTGCCAAAGAATATTTGTGAATTAAACTGAATTTTACAAACCATTTTGTACAATTGCCAAAAATATCAAAACACTTTTAGGCTTTGACTAGCTGGTTATAACTTAGTACATTAGGGGTAAATATCGTTAAGAGCCTTAATTATGTGACCTCATTTTGCACAGTGACCTTGCCTTGTTTTTTTTTTAAAGTTACATGATCAGGTGTGGTGGTGTACGTCTGTCATCCCAGCACTTGGGAAACCAAGGCAGGAAGATCACTGTGAGTTGGAGGCCAGCCTGGGTTACACATAGTGAGTTCAAGGCCAGTCTTGAGTACGTAGTGAGATCCCATCTCAAAAAACACAAAAAATTTAAAAATAAAAATAGAAAAAGTCATGTAGGTTGTTTGGCTCCTAAATAAGATTGTATTTTATTGTTCTTAGAAACAGTAATGTTTCAAACTATATACAGATATCACTAATTAATAGAAGTATTTGCAGCCACAGAATAATTTTCATTATTTTTAAATACTGTCTCATTTGTTGATATTTAAGATATTTACTAAAAAATTGGAACTTTAAAGTTATACTTTAGTAGACTTTTTAAAATATCATTTACTTGAATTGTGTAGGATTTATGCAACTCCGTTCATTAACTGTAATGTAAGGGCAAGTATTTTTAGGCATCATAAGCTGTGGTTAAGATGAAGGTCACTCTTCCATGATCTTGAGTTGTTTGCACCCTATTTAGTGATTTTTTTGTGAGTTTTTTTTTTAATTGTCTTATATATTTTGCCAAGGATGCTACAGGAGTGTCTCATTATGACCTGTGTACTCCACACAAACAGAAGATGGTCCGGGCTAAAAACCTTAACCTGTTTCTCACATGTTCTAAATGATTTTCTTTGTTTCTGGAAAGGTGACTTGCGTTAGTGTTTACATTTGTTCTGGGGAGATTGTATTTGTATTTAATAAAAGCAGTCCCTCCTTCACATCTTCTTGGTGATGCCATCTGTTTGTGTTATTTTTGGCCAGTCCCATTTTACAAAGATTACAACTAGTTAGGATTACAACTTGTTAGGGAAGGTTGCTCCCTAAAGAAAACTGGTGTTTGCTTGTTTGTTTGTTTCTGCTGTGTTAATTAGATCTGCATACTGCCAGCCACTTTGAAAGAGCATTATTTCTCTTCTTGAGTACAGTAGAATATAAGGTGGCCCAGTTGTAGGGCTGAAATATGAATTTCAGACCTACAAGGAATAATTTTTTATTGTATATCTAGTAGTTAAAAAAAAAAAAGTACAGCTGCCTCTCAGTTTATGATGGAGTTCCATCCCCATCAACCAGCCATTAATTGAAATATCATAAATCAAAGGTGCATTGAATATCCCCAGCTTACTGAGTACCCTCCTAGATTCTTGTGAATTCACATTGCTTTCACACCATGATACTATTGAAAGTTAGGGACCATCTGTTCCTGTTATTTACCTGAAATCTGAAGTTTACAAAGTACCTTATCTTTCTGTTAGCCAGGCCTGGCAGCCTGGTTCTGCAGGGGCTCCAGATCACTCTGCCCAGAAAGTAACTCAGAGGAGCCAGTTGCATTAGACCTGAGAAAGCTCACACATCTGGGCCAAAGATATGGACTCCTGCAGTGTTTAAGAAGCTGCTGTAGCTGCTGGTCATAGTTTACCCTTCTCCCTCGGGCCTCTCAGCTGACACTCTGTAAAAAAACGCAGATTCACCGGAGGAAGTCTGCTAATATGTGCTTCTCAGAGATCCAGGGGAGAAACTCACAGAGGTGGTTAAAACTTAGCTTTATACAGTTTACAGCAAAGCAGTAAGTAAATTTAACTGTTTAATTGAACAACTCAAGAAACTGGGCTGTCCTGGAGCCAGAAGAGGTTCAGAGAATTCTGCTCCCCATAGTGGAGGGACAGGATTTGAAGACAGAGTGGAAGCAAATTACAGAAACAGCTTTTGGCTGCTTTAACGAGGTATAATCTGCTGGTAGCCTGTGATTGGCTGAAACTTAGCTGCTGTGATTGGCTGAGACAGCTATTTGTTGGCACAGAGTGGGGGAAACTTGGGCTTTCAGTTTATTTACTTACCAAGCTAGGGGACTGTGGATTATGTAGGCGCTTTGGGATACAAAGGCAATCCTAAGCCAAAATCAGTTTAACAGTATACACTCAACTTGAACTAAAAAAAAGGGGGAGAATTGACAAAGTTAAGTTATAAAAAGAACATTAGGAAAAGAATGGTAAACAATGTGAGATTTGAGACGCTGGTGTAAATCGGCACCTTCTTCAATCACAGGCTGTTTAGTCACCGTCTCCCCCATACACAGAAGGAGCTGCCTTTGAAACTGGACATTTTCCTTCCGTAAACTTCCCTTTAGAAAGGGAAATATTCTGTCTTCTCGGCTTTGCTTGTGTCTGCAGCCCAAAGTGATTACCAATCTAAAACAGAAAAGAATGGCAGAGGCAAACATAAAATATCGAAGAAGCCAAGCCTGGTAGTGCATTCCTGTATCCCAGCACTCCGGAGGCTGAGCCAGGAACACCAATGCAAGTTCAAGGCCAACCTGCATGACAAAGCAAGAACCTGTCTCAAAAATTGAACAAGCCTTTCACCAGCTTTATGACCAGGGCTCTTTGAAGGACCTGGGCCTCCTCTTTGAAAGCCGAACACACAAGCAAACAGCATCCTTATCTCCCTCTCCAAGAGTATGGAGAGCAAAACTAACCAGTTACCTGCCATACAGAACAAGAAGTTTTTTGTTTTATCTATCTTTTAAATTATACTTTACAGAGAAAAATTTTCAAAACAAGATAATAGGAGATAACACATTATCTTTAGTTAGTGTACAATATGCAGACATTTGACTACAAACACTATTAACATAAACCTTCCTTTTCAATGAATGAGGAGAGATTAATATAACTATTGTAACTATCTTGTTTTGTTTTCCTTTCTTTTCTCTTTTGCCCCATTCAAGTTTCTCTTTTCTTATTCAAAAGGAATTCAAAAATTTCTTCCTGTTTTATAATATCTGTTGTACATTTTGGATTTTATTTACTCTGTCAGCTTCTTACACTAAGATGACAATACAATGTTTACATGTGTGTCTGGTTTATTTCACTTATGCGTATGGTTTCAAATTGCATCCATTTACCTATAAAAGTCTCCAGTTTATCCTTCTTTATGACTGTGTAGTGCTCCATTCTTTTTTTATCCACTCCTTAATTGCTGGGCATTTGGGTTGTTTCCAAGATCTAGCTACTACAAATTATGCTGCTATAAACATGGGTGCACATGTATCACTGTAGTATGATGTTTTTTAATACTTCTGGAAAGATACCCAGAAAGGAAACATATGGGTCAAATGGGATCTTTAATCCTAGCTTTTTGAGGAATCTCACACTTCCACTAATGATGGAGAAGGGTTCCTTTTTCCCCTTTCTGGGATGAGATTGAATCTCAGTGTTGTTTTAATTTGCCTCTCTCAAATGACCAGAAATGTTGAGCATTTTTTCATATATTCATTTGCTTTTTGTATTTCTTCCTCTGAGAAGTGTGTATTCATCTCAAATGCCCATTTTTGGAATGGGTCTTTAAATCTGGGTGGTCTGATATTTTTGTGTTCTTCATATGTTCTTAATAGTAGTTCTTTGTCTGAGGAACAACTGACAAACACTTTTTCCCACATTGTGGGTTGTCTCTTCATTCTGCTGGTTTCTCTTGCTGTGAAAAAGCTTTTTAATAACATGAGATCCCAGTTATTCATTCCTTGTGATAGCTCCTGTGCAGTTAGGGTTGTATTCATAAAATCTTTTCCTACAGCAATGTCTTCAAGAGTTTTGCCTATTCTATCTTTCAGCAGGTTTAATGTTTCTGTTTTAATATTTAGAACTTTAATCCATTTCGACTTTAGAAGGAATAACAGTGGGAAAGGAAGAAATTAAACTATTATTTGCGGATAGCATGATCCTGTACATAGAAGACCCCAAAAACTCCACTGAAAAAACCTGCTACATTTAATAAACAATTTCAGTAGCATAATTCGATACAAAGTCAGTACTCAAAAGCAAATAATCTTCCTGCACATAAATAACAAACTCACAGGAGTCAGTGAAACAACACCTTTCATAATAGCATCCAAAAAATGAAATACGTAGGAATCAATCTAACAAAGGATGTAAAAGACCTCTGCATTGAAAATTATAGTACTAATGAAAAAGGAGATTGAAGAAGATATCAGGAAACAGAAAGCTATTCCTTGCTCTTGAGAAGGAAGAACCAATATAGTGAAAATGGCCATACTTCTAAAACTATCACACAGCTTAATGCAATTCCAGTCAAAATTCCAACAGCATTTCTGACAGAGTTAGAGAAACAATACTAAAATTCATTTGGATCCAGAAAAGACCTAGAATAGCAAAGGCAGTTCTAAGCAACAAAAGCAAGGCAGGAGGCATCACACAATCCCTGACTTGAAATTATACTATAAACCTGCTGTGATTAAAACTGTGGTACTGGGAGGGGGGGTGAAGATCAATGGAAAACATTAGCAGATGCAGAAACAACTCCAGACATACTCGACATACTCAGCCACCTTATCTGTGACAAAGATGCCAAACACATTCATTGGAAGAAAGATGGCCTCTTTAATAAATGGTGCTGGAAAAACTGGTTTTGCGTGTGTCAAAGATTAAAATTGAACCCCTATCTTTCACCATGCACTAAACTAAATGTATTGTTTCTTTAGATAAAGACAATTAACAGAGATAATGAAATTGTGTCAACAAAGGGTACTGGCAAATCCTCTAATTTGAGGACAAATTATCCTTTGTCTTGTAAACACAGTTATTTTGCTTGGCTGTATAAAAAGGAGAGAAGTTTTTCCTGTATTAGCAATCTCTTGTAAGTTGCCAATGATGTACAACACATTTTGGCTTAATGTTTATGAATAAAACTATTTTCCCTCTCTTTTACCTTTATGGAAAGGACTTTTTGGCTGGTAGGAGATTTTGTTTTTAATTATATTTCCTCAACAAAAGTAACCAGTTAAACAATAAACACAGAAAGTGAAGTTAAAGTTCGATAGAGAGTCAAGGGTGGAATCCTAAAATACACATCACAAAAATGGAAGCACAACAGAAAGAAAGATTAACGAAAAAGCAGGTGGGACAAACACACACACACACACACACACACACACACACACACACACACAGCTTAAACTTAGCAACACGAATAATTGATGCAAAGCTTTGCTTTAGAAGCTAGAGAGTGTCAGAATGGATCCGAAGTTAAGACCTGCCTAATGCTATTTATAAGAAATGCACAATAAATACAGAAGCATAGAAAAGTGAAAAGTTAAAGGATTAAAAAGATAAATTACAGAAACTAAGAGAACTAGTATGGCTATTTTATTAGGAAAAGTGATTTCCAAGATGAAGATAACCAGAGATAGACATAAAAAGTCATCACTGCAGGAACACACTTTGGGAATAATTGTGTATTTTTTTTTTAATAAAAGGACAGCTATCCAGAGCCATTCATATGGCTGCAATTTGACATATACAAGAAAAAACATACTTAGGACATTGATCTCCTTCAGGGACCTTCTAGATCTAGAAATTGCAATATGTATCTTTAATTTGTCATAGTCTACCTTCAAAGTTTCTGCTTTCCTACAATGATGGAGATGGACCTTGAGCTTTTACTTTGTAGACCTCATTATGCCCTTAGATCTTTGCCAGTCAAGATGTTTCAAAGGTTCCTTCTTCCCATGTCTCCTGCCTGTCACTTAGTATAATGCATTGTGATCCTGAATATTCTGAAACCTGTATCAGTCCATTCATGGTTGAGAATGGAGCTGTATTCTCCATAGATTACAAAACCCCACCAACACATGAGCCAAGCTGAGAAAATTAGCTGAAGAATGTATGCATACCTGTGTTAAAAATCCACATATGCCCTAATCACT